ACTTGTTATTACTCCCCTGGGATTTCTCTCAAAACTGGTACGTGGATTTAATTGCAAATACATGTTATCACTCAAAGTGTTAAAGACAGTATAAAGTTACTACTAGAATTAAGTTGACTTCGGTTCTTAAATATGAGAACTTGGAGGTAACATGTAAGATTTTAAAGTGTAAAACAAAATATCAAACTGATTATTGACGCTGATAACACAGTGATGGATTGAGCCATCCTGTCAAGGTGAACATGTTGGTGATGTAGTTCTGAAAGAACAAAGATGATGATGGGGTATAGGATGGGCCACAAAAATTGTTATTTTTGTTTTATTTTTAAAAATTTATTTATTTATACAACTGGGGTACAGGCCAGAGGAGCAAGAGAATTCACCAGAAACAGAGATGAGAGCAGAACAGGCAGACAGACTGAAGACACTGCTGAGGGGAGCAGCGGGCGAGACAGGAGAGGTCTGCCATGCCATGTAGGTATCTCCCTGGTCAGCGGGAGTCAAACTTGCCCTGCAGAGGCTGCGGACAGCTTCACAACGCTGTGCTCAACCCGCTGCGCCACCGGGGAGGCCCAAAATTGTTATTTTAATGCTAGGCAGACTTCCCTAGATATAGGGAAGGTTCCTAAGTGAGCAATATACAGTGGTATGTGTTTTCTGAGTAGGCAGGCCATAATTGACCAGCATTGTGTCCTTGTCACACTAACTTTGTTATTAGGATGTGGTTTCTTCACTAAAAAGTTAAGATAATCATAGTACTTCCTTTGCAGCATTGTTGTAAGGATAAATGAGATAGTAGTTATTTAGTACTGTGTTTTGTGTGAAGTTAACTAAGCAATTTTTCTTCTTGCATTATATAAATATAGAATGCTGCATTTTTTTCTTACTGAGGACCTTTTCTAGCTTGTAACTATTTTTTTTTTAAAGATTTATTTATTTATGCATACAAGAACTGGGGTACAGGCCAGAGATACAGTGGGGGTGAGAGGATTCACCAGAGACAGAGTGGGGAACAGAACAGGCAGATTGACTGAAGTACACTGCTGAGGGGAGCAGCGGGTGAGTCAGGAGAGGTCTGCTGCGCCATGTGGGTAGCTCCCTGGCTAGGGATCAAACTCATGCTGCAGTGGCTGCAGAGAGCTTCATAGGTTGCGTCTTAACCCCTTGTGCCACCAGGGAGGCCCCTAGCTTGTAACTCTTGCATCAGCATTATTATATATTTATGTGATTTTGAATCACATATCAATGCAAGGTGGCTAAACCAAGTCATTCATGTCTGAAAAACTTTATCCAGTTTGGCTAATGATCTACACAGTGACAAGGAGCCAATTTCCCCATAAAAATAGGGTCTCTTCATTGCCAGCTCATTTTTTTTTTTTTCATGCATTTGATTGACTCTCTCCAAGCCTCCCATCTCCATCACCATCACAAAAACCTTTAATTTTTTTTTTGTTTGTGTATCTGTGAGCAACCTTCAACTTGACCTGAAGGAGAAGCTTCTACAATTTGATCTCTGGTCTTGTTAATTTTACTTTTCTCTTTCTACTTGAATGAATGCCTTTTAGTTAAATGCCTGAGTTCAGAAAAATCAATTTCAGAGTCCAGAAAGTACCACATATAAATTTCATATTTCTTCTTAAATGGAAAGCTGGTTTCACATTTCACTTTATCTTTATTTAGATAGAGACCTATAATTGCTTGCTTTCCAAAGTCAGTCACCAAGGAAAGGTTATCTCCAAAAACCTTTTGGTCTAAGACAAGGCACTACTTAATTCTCCATTCTAAATCTGAAATCATTTCGTAATGAAACATTAAAGAATACCTTCCTCTTTAAGAATGATACCACCGGAAATATACTTCTTGCTCTTGTTTACCCTACTTTCTTTCTTTTTTACAGATTAAGGCAAAAGAATTCTAAAGACTGGAAGTAACTATAGGTGAACACAGAAAGACCATTGAAGAGCCATATGGGGCTTCTTTTCTACTTCCTTTTTTCGGTCAAAATCTACTTCATTGCTTTAATAAATTATAGGCTTAATATATTGTGGGTATATTATTATAGTTCATCCTAACTTCATTTTATTTTACTTTATTTTTTATCTCAATGTCTTCTAGGTTGTTAATCTGTACTGAAATAGATATTTTCCCATTCTAATTGGCTTTACCCCAACAGAAGCAAAACTTTTTATTTGACTTTTAATTATAATAGTATGATAGTACAGCTAATATTTATTTATCAATTTATTTCTTACATAGCTCTTTTATAGAGTGATACAACAAAAAAGAAATAAAAAATTCAGAGAACTTTGGTGAATTGCCTGAGAAAAGAATCCTATCACATGGACCCAGTTTAAATCCCCATGCCTACAGATTGTTTGGTGCATAATTTGGAACAAATAATTTGGAACAAATGGACAAATATTTAAATAAAGAGTAAGTATACCAAAACCAGAAATTAAGCTCAGATCTTCTGATATCATTGGTTCTGTTTATATTATTGCATCCTGTGCACAATTTCATTCTGCTTTACTTGAAGACTGGCTAAACACACAACTGTGGATATGAAGATGATTTTCTCTAACTATGAAAAAAACACTTTTGGATTGGTTTTAGAGATATTCTGCCTGTACTTGTAGAGGTAAACTGAGGAAATTCAATGAAACTAACTGTAGACAAAGTTTTTTGGCTAGAAAACTGGCTTAATACATTTACCAGTTTGCAAATTCTTGTCAGGCCTATAAACACATAAAGTATGGGAAGATGTTTTAAAAGGCAAAAGTCTCTAAGCTATAATACTAAAAAGGCAACTAGAATTTTTATATTTTTATATGATCTAAATATTTAAAAGCCCTACCTTGATTGAAAAATGTATTTTAACTAGCTTCCGTTGAGTATGGATATAGACACAGAGGGAGTTCTTCCCAACTTCTGAATTCTGAGGAGGAGCTTCATTTAAGAGAGTACTTCCTAGATATCTGAGTGTTTCAATTTTATTTTTGAATAACCAAATTAGCTTTTATATGAATAGATATAACATTGCTTTTCAAATTTGCATCTGGATGTATATTTATATATACATAAATATGGAATTTAGAGTTTGGAAAGCAATTTCATATCTTATTTAATTTTAGAATATAGTTTTTAATATATGTCATTTTTTAACGAGTGAGTTATAGTTCCCTAAAATTGTTGATGTATTTTAGCCTATGAGGAAGAATTCTGATCAGAAAAGCCAATTAAGCATTTGTCAGCTTCATAATATTAAAAACTAAGTTTTCATTCAATTTCTAATAAATCTGCCAAAATTCTACTGATATTTCTCAGATAATGCTTATTTTACATACATATATTATTGTATATGTTTTCTATTTCTTTTGTGTCTAGACTTTACCTTTATTTCCCCCAGTTTCTGCTAAGATGTTATCTACTTAGTGAGGCTCTCTGTACCCACCTGGTTAGTCCACATTCCTTTGCTTTGCTTTATTCTCTATATACAACTTAGCATTAACTGACACAATTTATATATTATATTATATTATATTATATTAATTTATTTATTAAAGATTTATTTATTTTATGCATACAAGAACTGGGGTAGAGGCCAGAGGTGTGTGCATCGTGGGTGGGGGGTGAGAGGATTCACCAGAGACAGAGTGGGGAATAGAATAGGCAGATTGAAATACACTGCTGAGGGGAGCAGCTGGCGAATCAGGAGAGGTCTGCTGCACCATGTGGGTAGCTCCCTGGCCAGGGATTGAACTCATGCTGCAGCTGCCCCAGACAGCCTCACAGGCTGTGTCCCAAGCGCTTGCACCAGCAGGGAGGCCCTATATTTTATTTAGTCATGTTTAATTACCACTACCAATCCTTACACCTTCCCCTCTAGGACATAAACCAAATGAGGGTGGAACATAATATTTCTCTCTCTTTTTTCATTGTCTTGCTTTTGGAGTATATTAGATTGCATAGTATAGAGCAGGTGACTTATGTAATTTGTGACTGAGTTTGTTACAAAAAATATGCTATTCAGTAGGTTTTGGAAGCACATTTTTATTATTGTGGCATTGGCCCTTAATAGAGAAAACATAGATTATAAAATCATTGGCAAAATATAAATTTAATTAGCAAAAATATCATGCTAATTAAAATTACATCTTTGAAGAGTAAGTAGCATGTCAATATAAGTATCAATAGTATCAAATTCAAGAACTATAAAAGGGAAATCTCACTGAAAAAAGTAAACAGTGCAGCTATGATACTATAAGAACTATATTTGTTTAAAGATAATGTGTTTCTGAGGTTCTAGGAAGAAACTTCTTTCACTGATAAATCATATAACACACTATTATAATAACTAATTGCTTAAAGACAGAAAAGTGAATATAATCTGTTGCTGATACTAATTTAAATTGTTAGAAATTAATTTTTTCTCATCTTATTACTGCAGGTAAATCAAATTCATGGCCATATTTCCCTCCTAACTCTGATGTCCTTTGATTGGGCTGATTTTACACTTGGCCTAAAAAGGCACTAGGCTCTTCTGCTCATTCCCTGCTATTTGTAAACTTAATGTGTAAGTATAGTATATTTGACTTTTAAAGTATTGTTTAAATCTTACACATTTTTACAAAAAAACATGTTAGAATACAATGGCAAATACTCAACTTCTTTCCTTCCTTCTATATTGACATATCTATTAAACAGAACTATCCATCCACTCATCTATGTGATTATCTATCTATCTATCTATCTATCTATCTATCTATCTATCTATCTATCCCTGTCATTCAATATTGTATCTATCCACAAATACAGAAGTAAAAAGAAATTCATAGTTATAAGAATAATCATAGGAAAAATACAAATTCCTAACAGTAAATGTGAATAATCAATGTCTCATAGACTCACTGTATTATTTTTATAATTATTGGAATGGAAGCATTTATTTGATTTGCAAAATGGTAAAGAATTAATCTTTTAATTATTTGCTCTTCCTCTAGATAACTTCAGCAGCTCAGATTCAATTAATGGATGGAGCAATAAGTCAGTGGTTACTGAATTCATTTTGCTGGGCCTGTCTAGCTCTCGGGAACTCCAACTCTTCCTTTTTTTTATCTTTTCTGTGTTTTATGGTGCTGCAGTGCTGGGAAATGTTCTTATCATCCTAACAGTGACAACTGACTCTCGTTTGCAGACTCCAATGTACTTTCTCCTTAGCAATCTCTCCTTCATTGATGTGTGTCAAGCAACATTTGCCACTCCCAAGATGATTGCAGACTTCCTCAATGAGCACAAGACCATCACCTTTGAGGGATGCATGTCACAGATCTTTTTCTTGCATGTTTTTGGAGGTAGTGAGATGGTACTTCTAGTTGCTATGGCCTATGATAGATATATTGCTATCTGCAAGCCTCTCCACTACATGACCATCATGAGCCGAAGGGTATGTGCTGTTCTGGTGGGGGTCTCCTGGGCCACTGGCATTCTGCACTCAGCCAGCCACCTGGCATTCACAGTCAATCTTCCTTTCTGTGGACCCAACAAGGTAGACAATTTCTTTTGTGACCTCCCCCTCGTGATCAAGCTTGCCTGCTTAGACACCTATGTTTTAGAGATCCTGGTGCTCACCAACAGTGGCCTGCTGTCACTTATCTGTTTCCTCCTTTTGCTCATTTCATACACTGTCATCCTTGCCACTGTCCATCGCCAAGCTTCTGGTGGGATGTCCAAGGCACTTTCTACCCTGTCTGCACACATCACTGTTGTGGTTCTGTTCTTTGGCCCCTTAATTTTCATCTATATTTGGCCCTTTGAAAGCTTTCCAATTGATAAATTTATCTCTGTGTTTTTCACTGTCTTCACTCCTTTTCTTAACCCCATGATTTATACACTGAGAAATAAAGATGTAAAGGAAGCCATGAGAAAGCTAAGGAACCGACATGTGTGTTCCAAGCAGGTTGTTTAGACAACTGTGAGGAGTAACACAAATCCTTATTTATTTTTCTTTGCAATGAACACGTATGCTTGTTATTTTTGTGTTTCTATCAGTTAGTCTTTCACTACAAGAAGCATGTATCTGGTTATCTAAAGTTGGCAAATGCAGTATAGAATCTCATATTATGGTCCCAGTTCTTGCATTCGTAGCTCACCTCATCTTCCTTGAAACAGCAATGACATATATTAAATACCTAAGCAGTTTTTTTTTTTAAAGATTTATTTATTTATTTATACTAGCGCTGGGTACAGTCAGAAGTGCGTGAGGGTGAAAGGATTCACCAGAGCCAGAGCAGGGAGCAGAACAGGCAAATTGACGAAATACACTGCTGAGGGGAGCAGCGGGCGGCAGGAGAGGTCTGCGGGCCATGTGGGACCCTTGCCCAGCTGCTGGGGATCGAACCAGCGCTGCTGAGGTTGCAGGCAGCTTCAAAACCCAGCGCTCAACAGCTGCGCCACCGGGGAGGCCCTACTTAAGCAGTTTTTGTTTTTCTTTAGATGTCCATGTGCGTATGAGGCATTTTTTTATGTTACTTTAATAAACGTCATTGATTAAGAACAGGTAGTTTGGGTTTTATTAAAATGGGCAATGAGACAAAACTTACGGTCCTACGTTCAGTAAAAGCTTTAAACCCATCAACCTAGCAACAGAAATGTCTACTAACAATTTGGTAATAAAGTCAAATAAAGGTCAAAATAAAATAAAATATTATAAAACGCATACATTGCATTAATAATCTTACTTGATGTACTCTAATCAATATAATCCTCATGAAGAGTGGAGTATAGCAAGTCACAAAAAAAAGAAATTTGTGTTTCTTTGCAGGCAAGAATGCCATCTGAAAACAGAGATTAATGTTTCATCCCTTGTCTATGAGAACATCTAATGAAGCCAGAATAACCTTGATTCCAAAATTTAATTAGCATATAATAAGGTTATAATGGAAAATTTTAGGCCAATCTTATTCAAAAACAGGTTACAAAATTCCTTTAAAATACACAGCAACACTAACTGAGGAATTTATAAAAACAGGAAAATAATGATACAGTTAAGATTACCCAGAAATGCAAGGTGGTTTAACATTTGACAATCATTCCATGTAATTTACTATAGTAGCAAAATAAAAGAAATATATGCCTATATCAATTTATGGAAAAAAAAGTATTTAATAATACCTTAACATCATTGCTGGAAAAAATTTTCATAAACCAGGAATAGAAAAAATGTGTAGGGCTGTACATTTTAGTATAAGGCATATAATGGTACTTAGTATTAATGCTGCATTTACTCTGCTGGTCTGAAATGCTAGCCTAGAAGGAAGCCAAATGTTAACCCAGAACAAAACCAATGTTAACAAATGCAAATTTAAAACTTGTTTAAATGCAAATATGGAGGGCCTCCCTGGTGGCGCAGCAGGTTGAGCACTGAGCTGTGAAGCAGTCCACCAGCCAGGGTGATTCCCACTTGACTTGACAGACCTCTCCTGCCTAGTCCACTGCTCCCCTCAGCAGTGTCTTCCATCTGCCTGTTCTGTTAGCCACTCTCTCTGGTGAATTCTCTCATCCTCCCACTCCTCTGACCTGTACCCCAGTTCTTATATAAATAAATCTTTGGAAAAAAATGCCAACATGGAGTACAGAAGGTTAGGTTCACAGCACAGCTAATTCAGAGGTCAACTAGATGAGTAATTAATTAACCTACTTGATTATCAAAAATCACTTAGAGATGTTTTTAAAGCATGGAATTGCCTGTGCATAATAGAAAACCCAGACCCAAATGGTTGGAGTGATAAATAAATTTCACACGAAAAAAAGTCCAGAGGTAGATTAACTGAGATATACTATACTTCGTAATTTTCTCCATCCTGTCATTGTTGAGTCAGCTTCCTTCATCTCTGCTTTCTAATTTTTTTAAAAGATTTATTTATTTATGCATACAAGAACTGGGGTATAGCCAGAGGTGCATTGGGTGAGAGGATTCACTGATTCACCAGAGACATAGTGGGTAGCAGAACAGGTAGATTGACTGAAATACCCTGCTGAGGGGAGCAGTGGGCAATCAGGAGAGGTCTGCTGCGCCACGTGGGTCATCTCCCTGGACGGGGATGGAACTCAGGTTGTGGTAGCTGCGGATAGCTTCATATTGCTGCATTTTAACCACTTGCACCACCAGGGAGTCCCCCATCTTTACTTTCTATTAAGTTCATTTTATTTTATTCTGGCACTGACTGGTGCCTATCCTGAGCCAGTCGCCTCAGTTATGAGTGAAGCAGTTGTAAGAGTTAAATCTAGCCAGAGTGAAAAACCTGACAGTTCATGGGGTATTGCAAAGAAAACTCAAAATAGTATTGCAAAAATAGTGAGATAAGTTAAAAAGTGCTCTGATATTCCCTAACAAAGATTAAAAGTTAGTCTTAGGATTAAATGGTTTTATTTATTTTATTTTTTTTTAAATTTTTTTTTTTTATAGAGGCATGTTTTTATTTATTTGTTTGTTTGTTTGTTTTGTTTATACATGCACTGGGTACAGTCAGAAGCGTGGGAGGGTGAGAGAATTCACCAGAGCCAGAGCGGGGAGCAGAGCAGGCAGAAGGACCGAAGTACACTGCTGAGGGGAGCAGCGGGCGGCAGGAGAGGTCTGCGCGCCATGTGGGACCCTCCTCTGGTGGCCGGGGAGCAGCCGGGGATCGAACCGGCGTCGCAGAGGCCACGGGCAGCTTCGCAACCCAGCGCTCAACCGCTGCGCCACCAGGGAGGCCCAGGATTAAATGGTTTTAAAGTAACCTGTTTATCAGAAAAACTCAAGATTATTCATATAATACATGACATAGCCTGTAGCAATTGAATTCAAAATAGCAATAAAAATGTAAATAAATTTACATAAATTAAAAGAGATTTAAATAAAAATTACCAAGATATAAAAAGTAGAGAAATTCAACTCATAATGAGAAGGAAAATTAAAAAATAGAAACAGACACAAAAATGAAAGAGATGTAGAATTATTGGAAATGTACATTCAAGCAATTGTTAAAAATAAATTTCATATAAGTAAGAATATAGAAAAGGTTAAGTTAGAAATATGGAAGACATAAAAATAAAGCACATCAAACTTCTAGAACTGAAAAATAATATGTCTGATATGCAAAATAAACTAGCAGATCACATACTGAAGAAAAAAATAGATATGTGAACTTGAGCATATGATCATAGTAGCTATTCAATGTGAAGCACATGGAAGATATAAATGCACACATGACTGTTAGAGAACTATGGAGCAATTTCAAATTATATGTAATCAATTGAGGTCACATTGAAAAAAGCCCAAATATGATGAACACTATACCCATAGATCTAAGAACATAAGAAAAAAAAATAAAATGAAAAACCCAAAGAGAACACATAATGGTATAAGAATCAGGAAAACAACTACATCATGTTATGTCAAATAAACTTATTGAAAGGCAATGGTAAAGAGAAAATATTAAAAGTATATTAAAAAAGACTTGCTTAGAACATATTTAAGGATGACAACTGATTTCTCACTGAAAACACTTCAGCCAAGAAGACTGTCATTGAATACATAAAAAATAAATAACTCTCTAAAACAAAAGCATAATAAATTATTTTGCAAAAGTGGAAAAACTGAAAGAGCTCATGAGGGTAGACCCACTCTCCAAGAAATGTTATAGAAAGAACTTAAAGGAAGAGAGCAAAGATTCCACATGGAAATCTGGATTTACTTTGAAGAACAGAGGATCTGGGAAAAGAAAGTATGTGAGCAGACACTTATTTTTAAATCTTGCTAAGTGATAATTGCGCGTTTAAAATAAAAACAATAGCAATATAGTGTGTGATTTAAAAATATGGAGAAGTAAAATATGAAACAATGTAACATTCAGAAAGGAGAAAGTGTGTTATTTTAAGGTTGTTATGTGATGTCTGATAAGATGTATCAATTGAAGGTAGATTATGCTGAGTTAAAAATGTATAAAATAAACTTTTATACAACAAAAATTAAAATAAATAAGCTTCTTATATGCGAAAATTGAGCTAGAAGAGAAATAAAGAAAACAACACCATATATAATTGTCTCAAAAAAATTAAATACCTAGGAGTAAATTTAACAGAGGAGGCAAAAGACCTATACAGTGAAAACTACAAGACATAGTTAAAAGAAATAAAATAAGATACAATGGAACAAATAGGTATTTTCTGTTCATGGATAGGAAGAATTAACATTTTCAAAATGGCCACTAACTCCAAGCAAAACACAGATTCTATTCAACGTAATAGTGTGTGAAGAGCTGATCCTAAGTAAAACCAACTATGAATTCCTAAGTAGTCTCTCTTTCAATCAGTGCTGCTCTTATATGCCACTGTGCATGTGTGCGTAAATATCTGTGCATTTTACAAGGAGACATATACACAGTCAATAATTTTTTAAACTTTGGAGAAATACCCTTAGTGACAACCTAGTTCTATCTTCTAAGGTCAGTGACAGAACTAGCTAGTGGCAAGCTTATTTTTATTTATTAATGGATACCTGTTGTAATTGTTAAGAATAGATGAGATTTTACTTTGAATTTGGTCTATTCTGTTTAGATTAAGAAATCATGGGAAAGCAGTATTGAGAGGATTTTCTAGTTGTTTCCTGTATTTTAAAAAATAAAGTTTGATAAACTACCATTAATTATGTATGTGTCTTATTTTCAATTTCTTTCTCTAAAAATGACTATTTGAAACTTAATGTATACCACAACTTTTGAAGATCTATACAACTTATATTAAAAATAGTTGAAATATTTGGGAGATACAAGATCTGTCATAGAGAATAATGGAGACAACCTTCAAATATTTAAATAACCATCATACTAAAGAGGAAATAGCTTTGTTTTTTTAACTACAGGTGACAAATCCAGTTGAACATTCCAGCAACAGATTAAACTGTCCTGTGAGGTAGCATGTTCCTTGTAATTGGAGGAAACCACCCTGAAGCTTTGAACATTTGTTAGATTTTGTGATTGTTTTAATGATAGAAAATTGTGTTAAAAAATTACTGGAAGTCAGTGAAAATATAATATTGTTTCTTTCATATGCATAAATATTTAGGTAAATTTTTTTTCTTTCCATTCTGGGAAAAATTATTTTGTGAAACATAATTATTCCCACTGTATATTTAATTCAGATCTCCAAAGGGAGATTTCTTGTTTCTCCAATTAAATTGCCTTGCAGGAAAGAGCATGGAAGTCTTTATATTGCCTTGCCTTAGAACTTGGTGATTTCATCATGAGGGCAAGATGAGCAAAGCCCCCACCACCTCAGGGCATGACCTGAATGCGTGCCTCTGTAAAGCTTAGTGATGTGATCAAGTTAAAATGCATCACGTCAAAAACAAATTTTAAATACAGTCAATGTGAAGACTCGCAGCAGGAAGAGTGAGGCTTAGAAATAACCCTGGGCCACCAAATTTGGAGAAAATAAGGAGGGTGTAGGAGAAATTAATGAAAGGGTAAGTTTTGTACATGCTTTTGTTTTTTATTTTATTTTATTTTTTTTTTATTTTATTTTATTTTTTTTTTTTATAGAGGCATGTTTCATTTATTTATTTATTTATTTAGTTTGTTTGTTTGTTTTTTGTTTATACATGCACTGGGTACAGTCAGAAGCGCAGGAGGGTGAGAGAATTCACCAGAGCCAGAGTGGGGAGCAGAGCAGGCAGAAGGACCGAAGTACACTGCTGAGGGGAGCAGCGGGCGGCAGGAGAGGTCTGCGCACCATGTGGGATCCTCCTCCGGTGGCCGGGGAGCAGCCGGGGATCGAACCGGCGCCGCAGAGGCCGCGGGCAGCTTCGCAACCCAGCGCTCAACCGCTGCGCCACCAGGGAGGCCCCCTGTACATGCTTTTGAACACAATGTTTGAGCTTGACAAATAATTGGTAAAATGTCGTTTAGGTTCAAAATCAGGAACCGGAAGATAGCAAAGGGGAAGTAATTGTCTCAATCACTTTGGAAACCACAAAGAACAGGCAAATTACTGTTTTCCACTTCTCTGTTAATGTGACTCTCCTACTGCGCTGACATAGGGTAGCCCTGAGAATAATAGTGTCAGTATTTGATGAACAAAGAGAAGTATGCTATAATCATTGCATCTTCCCTCTATCCTACTTACATTTTCTGTTTGAAAAAAATTAGCCATTTGTTAAACAAATATTTGTTGACTATCAAGATTTACCTTGAATGAAGATGGAGTAGCTATACCAGTAGTGGTCAATGAGGTTATCCTTTATTGCTTTCTTGTAGTTAAGCTTATAGATAATCCACTATTATAAAATAAAATAATGAAAAACATTATGCATATTTATGACTTTGAAGTCTATTGATATATTTTAGAGATGGAAATTAATATAACATAACTTCTGTGCATCAAACTTGATCTGACAGTGCAAATAGGGAAATTCTTGTATGGGTATTTTGTCATCTGAAAGCACTTCTATTCTAAAGTGCATGGACAATGAAAAAGTGAAAGATTCATTAATGAATAAACTTCTGGATGTTCTATGCATTGTTTAGAGAACTCACATTACTGCCTTTGCACAAAGAATTTTAGAGATGAAAATATCTTTGGAGTTAATCTAGTTCTATCTTCTAAGGTCAGACACAGTGCTAATAAGTGGCAAATGTTATTTATCTTTACTAATGGGTACCTACCTTAATAATTAAAAAGAAAATGATGTATAACATTGAACTAGGCCTGTTCTACTTGGAATAAGAAATTGTAAGAAATTAGTGTGTAGAGGATTTTCAAGTGGATTTTCAACTATTATATTAATTATATATTAAAAGCTTGGTCTTAACAAATATTGAAGAATATAGCTTGTGGAAATTTTATCAGCTTAACGAATTAATACCTGTTATGTTTTCTTGAGTACATAGGGTGAATGCTTTCTGAACCATGTAAGTGATGAAATCATCATTTATATTTGCTTATCTCTGATTTTGTTTTTTATACTTCTATTTTAATATGAATATTATACTTTCCTGATTATAATAGGTTCCATAACTAATCCTCTCTATTCAAACTTCCGCTAATTCCCACAGTAGTCAGAGTTGTTAAGTATTAGTCTATGGGTTATTTATATTGTTTCATTGAATTAAATTGACTTTTAAATGAAAGCTTATCATATTTCTGTTGTATAGAATACACTTGATACGTGCCAATCATTGTGATATTTTCTGGACTTTCTTATATTCAGGTGACTGTAAACCGGACACATGGCTCAAGCAAACGAATCAGTGGTATCTGAGTTTGTGCTTCTGGGACTCTCTAATTCTTGGGAACTTCAGATTTTCTTATTTTCCATCTTCTTTATAGTGTATGTGACATCAGTACTGGGTAACATCATGATTATTATTATCATTTCCTCTGACTCCCATTTGAACTCCCCTATGTACTTCCTGCTCAGTAACCTTTCTTTTATTGACATCTGCCAATCGAACTTTGCCACCCCCAAGATGCTCGTGGACTTTTTTGTTGAACGCAAGACTATTTCCTTTGCAGGCTGCATGGCCCAGATATTCCTTCTTCATAGTTTTGTTGGGAGTGAGATGATTTTGCTAGTAGCAATGGCATATGACAGATTTATAGCCATCTGTAAACCCCTGCACTATAGCACAATTATGACTCGGAGACTCTGTATAATTTTTGTGATTATTTCCTGGGCTGTGGGTATTCTGCATTCAGTAAGTCACCTGGCTTTTACAGTGGATCTGCCATTCTGTGGTCCCAATGAAGTAAACAGCTTCTTTTGTGACCTTCCCCTGGTGATAGAGCTGGCTTGCATGGATACTTATGAGATGGAAATTATGACCCTAACTAACAGTGGCCTGATATCACTGAGCTGTTTTCTGGCTTTAATAATTTCCTATGCCATTATTCTGATCACTGTCAGGCAAAGGTCCTCCAGTGGGTCAGCCAAGGCACTGTCTACATTAACTGCCCACATCACAGTGGTGATTCTTTTCTTTGGGCCTTGCATTTATTTCTATATATGGCCTTTTAGCAGACTTTCTGTGGATAAGTTCCTTTCTGTGTTCTACACTGTTTGTACACCCCTGTTGAATCCCATCATCTACTCTCTGAGGAATGAAGATTTTAAATCAGCCATGAGAAAGTTGAGAAACCGTCATGTGGATTCCTGGAAAAACTAAGGGTCACCATGAGGAAGCATAATCTCGAATGGGTATGAAGAGCGTCCACTGGATCATAGTATCTTGCCAATTACTTTGCTAATGATATGTGTTATTGAGTTGTCATATAGGATTTTTTTTAACATGCAAAGGATTTACATATATAATTTTAACTACTTTTTTCAATATTTATAATCTAAAGTAAAAATCCTCTTGAAAGTAGTTAGTAATGCTTTTAAATATTTTATAAATATTTTAAATAGAAATTAGATTTTATTTTATATAAAGTATTATTATTCATGTTACTAAACTTGTAATTTTCTTCAACTGAACTCATGTTATTTTTATACCTTGTAATCAAAAGGAGTAAACTGAGTTTTTGATATCTTCACTCAACTTATTCATAACCTGTTATAAATTGGCACACATTCAAAAATGTGTTTTATGTCATGGATTTTATTTTATTAATGTACCTGTCTACTTATCTTTTCCTTGCATATTGACTATTTCATTTATAATTTGATATTTGCAATTTCCCCTATCTGCAACTATGCTCCAATAAATTTTTTCTGCTTTCTTTTAGATTTTTGATATACATCCACTCATTACCATATTTATTATAGAAATTTGGTGCTGTCAGCAACATATTTACCCGTTGTTCAAGTCTATTTATTTTTTTAAGTATTATATATTAGGTACAATGAATTCCACATTAGACAGAACATTGCAAGACTCTTAGAAATTGTAAATCTCAAAACATTTTAATTCAGAGAAAATGCTAATTACTTATGTACCTAAATATGTAAATACACAAAGTAACAAAAATAATTTCCAACTTAGGATAAAATCTGAAATCTACACTTTTATATTTCTTGGGAAATATAAGAGAGACTATAAAGTTCATGTACATATTATAATAAAGCTGAAAAATATTAATTTTTACCAGGGTGAGAGGAGTAGGGGAGAATCCAAAGTGGGGAGGATACACATTGGAATAAGGTGGAGGACTATGGGTGCTTTGGTGCTGGGTGATACCTCTGAAACACAACATTGTAAACCAGTGTTTATGCAATAAAAATTAATTAACTCATTAAATATAACAAGCAAACTAAAGATATAAATTGGAATAATAAACATACCCAAATATTAAAAAAGAGGCAGAAAAAGAAGGGAAAGGAATAAAATAGTTGGGACAAATAAAGAATTACAAGATGATGAACTCATTCTAACCATATCATAATCATTACAGCAAATATAAGTGGTCTAAACACACTTATTAAAATTCAGAAATTGTCAGACCTGATAAGAAATCATGAATTAAAGTGGTATAATAAAACTAATATTGGATTTGGAGACAAACCAACCTTGTAAACTGTTACTGGGAATGTAATTGCCAAACTCCTTTGGGAAAACTCATTCCTCAAAAAATTTAAAAATAGATAAATCATATGACCCAGCAATTTTCCTCTTCTGGGAATATAACTAAAGGAAATTAAGTCACTCTCTTGAAAAGATATCTTCACTCCCCTGTTCACGGCAGCATTAGTCTCAATAGCCTAGGTATGGAATAAATTGTCCATCAAGGGATGAATGGATAAAGAAAATATGGTACATGGATGCAATGCAATATGATTCCGCTTTAAGAAAAAGAAAACTTGTTATTTGCTACAACATGGATGAACCTGAAAGACACTGTATTAAGTGAAATAAGCCAGACACAGAAGGATAAATAACATGATAGCATCTAAATAGGGAATAAAATAATAAAATCAAAGAAGCAGAGAGTAGAATGGTGGTTGCCAGATGCAGTGGTATTAGTCCAGTCAAAGGTTATAAAGTTTCAGTTATGAGATGAGTGAATTCTGGAGTTCAAAAGTACATTTGGTGACTATAGTTAATGAACTATTGAAAACATGACATTTGTTCAGAGTGTATATCTCAAATGTTTCACCATATACTTAAAAAAACCCCACTAACATTGGAATGTGATTATCACTTTGTAGTGATAATCATTTATATATATAAAATTATCATGTTATATACCTTAAATTTTAGAATTGTTTGTAAATTACACTTCAAAAAAGACAGAAAAAGCCCTGAAACTGAAGAATTTAAAAACCTAAACTTTCACTTGTACAACATGAATAAGTCTAGAGATCTATATATGGTATAGGGCCTATGTCAAAGTACTATATTGCATACTTAAAATTTTGCTAAGACGTAAATCTCATGTTGAGTGTTCTTATCACAAGAATACAATAATGAATGAAGAAGACAAGAAGAAGCTTTTGGAGGAATGGATATGTTTATGGCATCGATGGAGATGGTTTCATGAATGTATAATTATCTTCAAACTCATCAACTTGTATGAATTAAATATATACAGCTTTATGTGTATCAATCATACATCAATAAAACAGTTTTTAGAAAAAAAGATTTAAGTCTCACACATAACAAAAATTTAAATCATGTCAAAGTGAATTTGATTAAGAAAATTAGTTGTGATTATTGTCTTAAAATGATAAAAAAATTTAATAAATATTTAAATGATAACATTAAATAAAAAAGAAGTCTACCAATATGGCAAATTGTTATATAGTTTAACAAAGTAGAAAGTGAGTGATATAAAAAACTAATAGTGGAAATGAAATGATAAACAAAAAATGAACAAAAATGATCCAATAGTGGATCAGAAGAGTGCAAAAAAGAACAAGAATAGAAATAGAAAAAATAGCCAGATGGTAGACACAGATCCATTTCAATAGCTAGATTATATTTAAATCATCTAAAGACTCCACAAAAAGGCAGATTTTGCCAGAATGATCCATAATCAAGACCAAATATTTGTTGTATGCATGGAATCCACCTTCAATACGAAGACACAGGGGCCTCCCCTGGTGGTGCAGAGGTTGAGCACTGGGCTGCAAAAGCTGCCCGCAGCCTCTGCAGCGCCGGTTCGATCCCCGGCCGCCTGCGAGGGTCCCACATTGCGTGACAGACCTCTCCTGCCACCCGCTGCTCCCCTCAGCAGTGTATTTCGTAGGTCTGCCTGTACTGTTCCCGCTCTGGCTCTGGTGAATTCTCTCACCCTCCTGCACTCCTGACTGTACCCAGTGCTTGTATAAATAAATTAATTAATTAAAAAAAGAAAAAAAAGAGGGCCTCCTCTGGTGGCTCAGCGGTTGAACGCTGGGCTGCGAGGCTGCCCACATCCTCTGCAGCGACGGTTCATTCCCCAGCCTCCGGTGAGGGTCCCACAAAAAAATAAAAAAAAAGATTGTAGAAAAGCTATATTATGCAACCAGCAACAACAGGGAAAGCAGCAAGAAATACTATCATGGAAAAAGAGACATGGAATATTGATAAAGGAGGGTTTATTCCATTAAGAAGACAATAATCCTAAACTTTGTACTTAATTTTCAAGCTTTAAAATACATAGAGTCAAATATTTCTTCCTATAAAACTAAATTTCCCAACTGATTTGAAGAGTAACACACAAACTAAAACCTGTACGTAAGTCTTTAAAAACATTCATTAGCACCCCCAAAATGGAAGTAACTAAGATATCCTTAACTAGATAACTAAAAAGATTAGTTAAGGAACCTACATACAAAGAAATACTATACCAAAATAAAAAGTATGAGCTATTAATGCATGCAATGACATGGGTGAATCTTGAGTGCATATTGTTAGATGAAAGGAGCAGATGAAGGAGATACACACTACATAGTGTATTCCCTGAGCATATGATGTTCTGGAAAAGGCAAATCTTTACACTCAGAAAATCATTAGTGATTGTATGTTAGTTGGTCTACTACGAAAGGAAACTTCTATGGTCATTGGACTTCTTGATACCATACTCTTGAGTTATTTGTTATAAATTCAAATGCATAAATGTGTAACTTTTTGATTCTAATAATTTTACCTTCAAACACTTATCCTGAAAGAGCATTTAGAAAATTTAAACTTAAATTAAAATTTTTAGATAAGCTATTTTAAGTCATGCTTATTTCCAACTAGGGAAAAAACACCTTACATTTTCTACAATATGAGAATAATTATTCTATCACATTTATTAATTAGAATATAATGCACTTATTAAAATCAAGTTTATAAGTTATATGTTGCAACGAGTGGAAATGTTCATGTTTCATGTTTAGAGAAACCATATAAACAGTGTGATCCCATTTACTAAGATAGGTTTGCAAATTAAATATAAGAACATAGGGGACTAGACAGCACCTATCATATTCATAATTTTAATCTGGATGTTTTAGAGGATGATAATGATGACATTAGCAGACGGAATATTTACTATAAGGAAAATTTAGGGAAAATGTGTTAATTTTGGAATTATTAAATTTGTGGTGTAGACATGACTTGTAACACATTTGGGAACCTGAGAATTAGAGTTGTACACTTAGGGTTCTTTTTTTTTAAAAGTGGAAAGTCATTAGAATATATGAAATCTCCCAGTAATATATATCTTAAGAAGAAAATAAAATCAAAATAACAAATTTTTAGACATCATGTACATGAAAGGAATAGTAGAAAGTAGAGATAATAACGGAAATATTGGTCAAAGGGAGATTTTGGAGTGCTTTAACTTCACGTTATCAGGGAATAGATGAAAAGTAAGATTAGTTCTAGTAATAAATGAAAAATGTTTCAATCTGTGGAAGAGGCTTCATGGAGGAGAAAGAAAGGGAATTTGTAAACAAGGGGTTAGAAGATAGATTTTTAAACCAGGCAGTACTATCTGTGTCAAGCAACTAATTCTTCAAGATCTCATTCAAGCTATGTAAATATTTAGGATCTTGGATTTATTTAGTTCTAGTGTTCCTACCAACATGGAAATTCTAAGAAACCTCTTTCTTTACCCTTTAATATTTTGTTCTTCAATGACAACTTCAGGGAAGGAGAAAAATCTGAGTTTCACTCAACAGCATTTTTTCCTAAAAATTTGAACTAAAAATTCCAAATTTTTACAAAATGGCTTAAAGCCCCTTCACCAGAATCTACTCTATAGAATGCAGTGATTTTGTTGTCAAACAGCTCTCACTGCCTTGCCCTAGAGTCCTTGCCTTGGAAATC